GATATAAGCAAATATATTACTGTCTTATAATTATTATTTAACTTTATATGTTATACATTAACAAATACACCCAGATTTTAATAATTAAAATTAACAAGTAGTTTTAATTAAAGCAAACATCCATTGAAAAGAATCAACACAGTGGCTTCAGGAGTAGTTTGTTTCATTTTCGGTTGTTTGTGTTTATTGAGAACTCCAAATTGTGACTCACACCTAACTGAAGTAAAATTCATTGTCATAAATATAACTAGAAGCCCTTAAAGAAAATGATATTCAATCAGAATATCTCTAAAATCATACAAATCAACCCAATCTCGTTTATTTTTGCTTTTCAACTCTTCAATGATATCATCTTCAAAACATTTACGACTCAAACTCCGGATTTCTTCTTTGAGATACATACGACTCAATGGAATTACAATTCGTCCTTTAAGAATGTCTTCAAAGTTGTTCCATACAAACACGTCATCTTCTATTGGGTCGATTTCTCGTTGTTTTTTTCACAACGTCAGTTCCACACACATTGTACAACTCTTGAAATGTAGTAACAGTTCTTGATTGCTCGGAAGTTGCAATCGAAGAAAAACGAAACTTGAAGTTTGAGTTGACAACTTCAAGTGCCCGTGCAAAGAGTTTCCATACCGAAATATCAACACCTTCTTTGTTTTCGTTCGTCAATTTAAACGGTGAAATATCCCTCATGTCAACTGCAGCAGAAAACATTTGAAATTTGGCCACAAGAGTTTCAACTTTTTTCCACTCTCTGGGAAGAAACGTTTCTTTTGTCTGGAGTTGTTTTATAATGACGTTAAAAGGCTCAAGAATATCAATCAAAAACACATTACAAATTTGGTTTTCTCAGATAATAGTATCTCGATGCACTCCTTAACGTTTATTTGATTATAGAAGATGGCTTTTTGATCTAGTGTTGTAAGATAATTTACCAGTTGAAGTCGAACATTCCAAAGTGAAGTTAAAACATTAAAAATTGAATTCCACCGAGTGTCACAATATTTTTTGATAGGACATTGTTTCAAATTAAGGAAATTAGAAAACCCATTATCTCTGTGACACTTACCACTTATATGTATACATGTATTGACTATTTCTTTTATTTCTTCCCATTTACACAATTTTTCTATAATAAGGGAAAGCCTGTGGCACGCGCAATGTATGCGAAAACAGACAATCCCCCATTTTCTTTTTTCTTTAATTTTCTTTTTTAACTTGGTAGTGAAGCCATTTTCGTTTGCCATGCAATTTGCCGCACCATCACAAGTACAACTGAATATTTTTCCAATCTATCTCGAATCTGTCAATGATGTTAACAACATAATTAATTATATTATCTGCACTTGTAGCTTCTTCGATTTCGAACAGTTCAACAATATATTCTTGAATAGCTAAATTTTCATTAACACATCTTAAAAACAATACATACTCCTTCCTTCCATTAATTTTAGTCTCGTCTATTTGTATTCCAACTCCAAGAGATTCTTTAGCGGCTTTACTAA